TGGGGAAAGGGGGGGCCCCGGGCCCCGTTGCCGTTGGCCGCTCCCGGTGCGGATCCCACCTTGGCTCCTTCCCGGCCGGCGGCTCCGGGCAGCCCCTGCTCTCCCGGGGGGCCGGGGGGACCCGGATGCCCCCTGTCTCCCACCGCTCCCGTCTCTCCGGATTTTCCCTAGGAGCAGAGAGCAGAGGCAGTAGTGCCGTGCCTATCCCATCCCATCCTCATGGAATTCCCGGCATGATGCCGCTCACCTGGGGTCCCACCACGCCGGCAGAGCCCGGCGGTCCCGTTTTCCCATGGAATCCCTGCGGAGGAGCGGAATGAGGCCTGGAAGCCTCAGCGGGCAGAGCCATGGAATGGGCAGGGAAAAGCAGGGACTCACCGGCTCTCCGCGCTGCCCCGGGTGTCCCGGCAAGCCATCCTTCCCAGCGGGACCCTGTGGAGATGGATTGGGATGAGCAGGGCCCAGAGGATCCCAGGAGCTTTGGCACCGGTGCCGGAATCGGCACCTTCGGCTCCGCGGTGCCACTTACGGGTGGCCCTTTGGTGCCAGGGAATCCGTTGGGGCCCTGGGGACCCTGTGGACCCTGTGGAGGGAGGGAAGAGCCCGTGGGAAGCAGTTTGGAGCATGGCTTGACCAGAAATCCCAGCATCCTGACCAGCCCCTCATCCCATCATTCCGATTCCCAGTCCTGCATCCCTGCACCCCAGCCCCTCATCCCAGCATTCTGATTCCCAGTCCTGCATCCCTGCAGCCTGGCCCCTCATCCCAGCAGCCTGCATCCTATCATCCCAGCCCCTCATCCCAGTATCCTTCCTCCCAGTCCTATGTCCCTTCATCCTGGCCCCACATCCCAGCATTCTGATTCCAGTCCCGCACCCTAATCCCTCAACCCCACATCCTGCTTCCCAGTCCTGCATCCCAGCATCCACTTCCCAGCATCCTGCACACCAGCCCCTCATCCCATCATTCCGATTCCCAGTCCTGCATCCCTGCACCCCAGCCCCTCATCCCAGCATTCTGATTCCCAGTCCTACATCCCAGCCACTCATCCCAGCATTCTGATTCCCAGTCCTGCATCCCAGCCACTCATCCCAGCATCCTGTATCCCAGTCTTGCATCCTGCACCCCAGTCCCTCATCCCAGCATTCTGTATCCCAGTCTTGCATCCTGCCTCCCAGACCCTCACCAGCATCCTGTATCCCAGTCTTGCATCCTGCACCCCAGTCCCTCATCCCAGCATCCTGCACCCCAGTCCCTCATCCCAGCATCCTGTATCCCAGTCTTGCATCCTGCATCCTAGCCCCTCATCCCAGCATCCTCCTTCCCAGTCCTGCATCCTGACCCCACATCCCGTCTCCCAACCACTCACCTTCTCCCCGGTGGCACCGGGGGCTCCGTCATGTCCCGCGTGGCCCTGGGAGGAGAGAGGAGGATAAAGGGGGAGTCTGGAGGGGGCAGATTCCGGATCCGGATACCCTGGGAAGGGGTCACATGACCGGGAACACTTACCTTGGGTCCGGGTGCCCCCGTGGCTCCGGGCAGCCCCCGCTCTCCCGGCAGGCCCTGGGCAGAGAGTGGCATCAGGCGATGGGACAAGTACAGCCGGATTCCATGGAATACCGGCCCCGGGGTGGATGCCATGGGATACCGGTGCCGGGATGGATGCCATGGGATACAGCGACCCCCAGGCCGGGTGTCTTGGGACACGGGGTGGGAACTTTTGGCTTGGTTGCCAGGGGAAACGACAGGTACCAGGTTGCCATGGGGTACAACAGGTCCTGGAGGGGTTGCCGTGGGATACAGGCAACTCCCTGGGGCGGTAGCCATGGCTACAGCCGGTCCTGGGATGGTTGCCATGGGATATGGCCCGTTCCAGGTGGTTGCCATGGGATACACTGGTCCCAGGGCGGTTGCCAGGGAATACAGGTGGTCCCAGGGTGGTTGCCATGGGATACTCTGGTCCCAGGGCAGTTGCCGTGGCATACACTGGTCCCAGGGCGCTTGCCATGGGATACAGGTCGTTCCAGGGCGGTTGCCATGGGATACACTGGTCCCAGGGCAGTTGCCATGGGATACAGGTGGTCCCAGGGCGGTTGCCACGGGATGCACAGGTCGCGGTGTGGTTGCCACGGGTTACAGCAGACCCAGGGTGGCCCCCGTGGGTCTGGGGGTCGTGGGGGGCTCACCGGGGGTCCCCGCTGTCCTGTCTGCCCGGCCTGGCCAGCCTTGCCCTGCGGGAGCGAGAGATGGAGGGGCAGGAACAGCCGCCGAGCACCCACATCCTCCCCACACCCCATGCAGGGATGGGGAATCTGGGAATCTGGAGCCAGGAATGGGGATGCCGGGGCCCCTCCGCTGGCTCCCAGTTCCTTCCTGGCTCCTGGGACAGGGATGCGGGCAGGATGAAGGGATCCATGGGGATAAGGGGTAGGATTCAGGAGATCCATGGGGGAATAGGAGGCAGAATGTAGGGGATCCATGGGGGAATAGGAGGCAGGATGCAGGAGATCCATGGGGGAATAGGAGGCAGGATGGAGGGGATCGATGGGGGAATAGGGAGCAGGATTCAGGAGATCCACGGGGGAATAGGAGGCAGGATGAGGGGATCTCTGTGGGAATAGGGGGCAGGATGCAGGGGATCCATGGGGGAATAGGAGGCAGGATGAGGGGACCCATGGGAGAACTGGGGGCAGGATGCAGGGGATCCATAGGAGAATATAGGGGGCAAGATGAGGGGACCCATGGCGGGTTGGGGTGACTGGGGCAGGATGCAGGGACCCATAGGGGCAGTGGGGCAGGAGCAGGGGCACGACAGGACTCACCCTCTTGCCTTTCTCTCCCGCCAGCCCCACGGCACCTGGGAAGCCAGCGGAGCCCCATGGGAAAATGAGAGATGAGGCGCAGGATGTGACAAGCTGCAACCAGGAGCTGGGAAGAACCAGCGGAGACCCCCCCCCACCACCACTCACCTTGGGGCCCTGGCGTCCGGGGTAGCCGGGGAGCCCGGGGAGGCCCAGCTTTCCCTATGGGAGACGGGAGCTGAGCGGCGGAGCAGGGATGCGCCGTGGGGCGGGGGCCGGGGGGG